CGGGGGTCTTCGGGCAGGTGTCTCCCACTACCTCGGCGCGTCCCGCGGGGTCTCCCACCCCGAGGTGCACGGGTAGAGGGCGCCTCCCCAGGACCCCGGCCCCCCTGAGGGGTGCAACAGCGTGGCGCAGCCCCCAGCTCTGCGACCCCTGGGGGGCGTCTGGGCGGGAGCCCCCACCCCAGCTGCCAAAGTGCTCCGAAGTTGCAGTCCCGCCCGTTCCCTCCGGGCAGTGCCCACCCGGTGGGCGCCCGCAGGTGCTTCCTCCAGGCTCGGGCAGGGACCCCGCCAGGACTGCCAGCCCAAGGACCGGCCCCTTGGGAGCCCCAGGCCCCCAGGGCAGCGCCTGCAACCAGGCCTGGAGCCCCGGCTCCGCCCCGGTTGCCTGGGCCCGGCCTCCCCACCATCTCCCTGGGGAGGGCGCCTCATTCCTGCCCTTCACTTTCCGCCGTTACCTTGAAGGTATTTATAGGTGGAGAGGACAGCCCCCTTCTCTCTGGGGTCCTCATTTCTGGACCAGGAGCCCTATTGCTCCTTTTCGCCCTCCGACCAGAGCAGTCTTGATGGAGGTTGGGGGAATGGAAGAACCCAGGCTGGGTGTGCATGAGGGATAAGGCTGTGGAGAAGTGAAAGGGTTAATGCTGGGGTCACTTAAGGCTGTGCGTGGGGGTGAAAGGGTTAAAGCTGAAGAACCCTCAGGTCCTGGGGGGTTGTGGTTGCAGTGTGGGCAAAGTGGAGGGGTAATTGATCAGGGCAACCCATGCAAGAAAAGTGAAAGGGCAATGAGGGGGCACTTGAGACAGTGTAAGGGATCAGCGTGGGGAAGTGGCTGGCATTCGAGGAGAGGGAGGCATGGCCAGAGGATGTGCCCGTGCCGGGAAGCCAGAGTGCAGCGGGTGAAAGTAAAGCTGTGTGTGAATGCAGGGAGGACGTGGGGAGAGGTGATAGGGTTAATGGTGGAAGAAAACAAGGTGTCCGAGTGTGCATGAGTAACAGCAGGGTCAACTGAGGCAGTGAACGACCTGGGTAAAGAGAGGCGTTGTCTGTCGGGAGACTGATGAACACTGAGGGCAGAGATCCTTGGGATATAGGTGTGTGCACAGGGCCTCAGCACCATTTACTTAGCTACGTTGGATTGGGAAGTAAACTGAGGCAATGAGTCGCCAGGGTCAGGACTGAGGTTTTGAGAGAGGAAAAACTCAAGACAGCACCAGTGTCCTATCTCCCTAAGCACCTCCTCCTCTCTCTTCCCAGACCACAATGCCTCGATAAGCCAGCCCAGCACCAAGTGGAGCGAATCCGAGTGCATCCATGGAGGGGCCCCTGGCAGGTGGCCTGGCCGCCCCCGATCGTCCACGAGGCCCAGAGAGACTGCCTGGCCCAGCTCCAAGGGAGGACATCGAGGGTGGGGCCGAGGCCGCTGAGGGTGAAGGTAGCATCTTCCGATCTACCCATTACCTACCTATCACGAAGGAAGGTTCCCGAGATATTCTGGATGGCAGAGGTGGCATTTCTGGTAAGAGGGAATATCCAGCGGGTCCCCAAGGCTCAGAGAGCGCCAGATCACCCAACCTAGCAGGAGCTGAGTTTGGAATTCAGATTCTCCTTGAGTCCAGTGCCTTCTCTGCGCCTCTGCTTAGTTTCCCATTTTACAGCTGTGCAAACAGATGCTTTGGGTGCCCAGTGGGTGGCAAGGAGTAGCACTGAAACTCAGGTTGGCCCAGCTCTCTGCTCTGAAATGGACACTTATTAAAACCAGGTGCCCGTCTCCCGTCTCAGCACCCTGAGCTCCTGTTCCCCTTGCATACCCCCCTCCCATCAGTCTATCTCAGCTCCCCTTGCTGTCTTGGTTGTCTTGCTTCTGCACCGTGGGCCAAAACAGCTTGTGCCCTCTAGTGGCAAGGGAGAAAACGGGGAGTCGGGGATTCCTGCTTCCCTTTGTGCCTTGGTTTACCCTACAAAAGGGTATATCTCACATTGTCCCCACCTTAGGATTTGTTAATCATTCATTAAATACTGAGCACCTACTGTGTGCCAGGCTCTGTTCTAGGTGCTGGGAAAACAGCCATAAACCAAAGAGGCAAGAGTTTTTGTCTCTCTAGGGGCTGCTGTTCTAGAAGGGGAGATGGACAACAAAGAACTAAGCAAATGTCATAAGGGCAGATAGTGACAGAGGCTGTGAAAGTACTAAACATAGTGCCAGGATCACTCTTAGGGGACCTAGGAAAGCCTCCCTGAGAGCTTTTGAATGGAGCACGGAATGGATGGTGGGAAGGAACAGCAAGTCCAAAGGTCCTGTGGTAGGGAGGAACCTAGCACATTCAAGACCAGGCAGGAGACTGGTATGACTGGAGAATCTCTCCCTTTATCTCCTTGGCCTGCCTGCAAAGGCTTTGGTTCCCGGGAACTCCTGAGCACCTCATTATCAGTTTCCTGCCTATCAAGTCCTTTGCATGATTAATTTTATATCACTCTTCCAAGAACCATGGTATGCCCTTGTTATTATTATCATACATTAGAGGTGGGAAAACTGAGACCTTAAGGGATGAAATAAGTTGGCCAGGATCACAAAGCCAGGCAGGGATGTGATTTGAAAGCATTAGCCACTGTGCCTCAGTCATCTTGGGGGGTCCTTGACCTGTCCCTGCCCTTCAGCACCTCGTACAATGCTCCAGTACTTAGAGAGCACCTTCATGGGGCCACCTTCCTGCCATCGTGGACCCTACCATCAGGGGCAGGTGAGACAAATATGCGCCAGGTGTAAGGGCCCAGTTACTGAGGTGTGAAGGGAAAGAAGCACCCTGCCCAGCCAGAGGGCATCCAGGAGTCCATCTGAAAGTGAAAGGTGTGGGCTGAGGGACAATGAGCCCACCTCAGGGAACAGAGGATTAGTCCAGTACCTTAGAAATTGCTTCCTCAAGGCCCAGAGAGCAGCACGATCTTGTCTAGTTCACACAGCTGGCCAGGGCAGGATCAGGGCCTGGACTTTACAGGAATCTGCAGAAACAGGCTCTGTAGGTCTGGTTCTGAGGGACTGAGCATTTCTTTTCTACCTGGTAGACACCCCAGGTCTAGAGAGAGGGGAAAAGTAGGTAGTTAAGTGTGACCTCGCCCTCCCTGGGGAGCAACCAGAGATTCACAAATGCACCAGTCTGGCAGCCTGGGGATGCCGGGTGTGGTGGCGCACTCCTGTAATCCTAGCACTTGGGAGGCTGAGGCAAGAGGATTGCTGTGAGTTTGAGTTCAGCTTAGGGTACAGAGTGAATTAAGGCCAGCCTGAACTACATAGCAAGACTCTATCAAAAAAAGAAAAAAAAAGAAAAATTATAGCCTGGAGAGGAGGGGATGTAGCCAACAAAGAGGGTCAGGCCCGCCCTTCATGGTCTCCCTGAGCGAATGGGTGTACAGGGTAGGGGTGGCTGGACTCAGGGTGGGATCATGGCATAGAGGTTGGAGGAAGCCATGGCCTTTGGACACTGTGTCTCCTCCTGTCCTCTTGGCCTGTCCTCTTGGCCTGCCTGATCCCCCAGACTCGGGCACCTGCCCTGAGAGTCTTGTGATGCCTAAAAATAGGAGCAGCCTCTGGGGCTGCTGTTCCACCCCAAAGCCTGGGCCTTCCCTCATCTACACTCAGCCCTTGGAGCCCCGCAAGGACTCCTTGGAGTGGCCATCTCTCCTCTGCCTGGACAAGGATGTATCCACGACCTGCTCTGCCTTCCATTGTGGCTGTTGGCTGGGAGCCTCCTGGATCCCCCACATAGCTGCGGCCCAAAAATGTGTCTGAGATTGGGCATCCCAGGTATGGCAGAGTTGGGGGCAGGGAGGGGGCTTCAGACATTCTGCATAGATCGATGAAGAGTCTGGTGCATGCTTCGCATTGTGCTGGGGACAGGGCACCCGAGGACAAGTTGTTCATCATTTCTGCCCTCGTGGGGCCTCAGGCTGGGGAGGAAACCAGTATGGAGCAAACTGGCCTGAGGCTCTGAGGTCAGCCTCCAGCTTCTACCCTGGGTCATGGAGGAGCCCCAACCTCCCAGGAATCCCACCTCTCTTCCTTCTCTCCATGACTTGCTTCCCTGGATGGAACATTTACTGTGATCTTGTTGGAATCCATCGCTCGCCCTGCAAGAGTGGGCAGGTGGCTGTTCTGATTGTACAGACGAGGAAACCGAGGCTTGGAGTGGGCAAGGCAAGCCCTTCAGAGTCCACAGCTGGGCCTTGAACTTGGGTTTGGCTGGCTCCAAAGTCCCACCTCCAGCGTGTCTCTAACACAGGCTCTCTGCTTGGCCTCCTTCCTCCAAAGTCACTGCCGCTAAAAATAGGAAGCCTCGCTGGAGCTGCTCAGACAAAGAGGCCAGTGTGACCCCCCCACCCCCCGGCTCGTGGAATTCTTAGACAACGGCAATCGCAGAATCATCAAATCTGGGACACCCAGAATCTCAGGACCTTGGGGTTCCAGAATCTCAGAAGCCTCAGAAGCCTCAGAATCCCAGGATCCTCAGACCCCTACTTCTAGGGTGTGCTGGGGCTGGTTATGCAAGAATCAGTCAACCTTGGAAGAAGCTTGCATCTGTGACTTGTGTGTCCTTGAGAGACCCTGTTTTTGGGGTCGTTCTTCCTTGGCTGGTTGAGACCTTACTTTCCCAGCCATCCCACCTTCTAATAGCCCACCCTAACCTCAGCCCTGGCATCCGAGCACAGCCCTGCTCCCCATCCATCCACCCCCATGGTTCTTAAATGAGGGTAACTGACCCCTGCCTCAGGGGATACATCAGTAACATCTGGAGACGTTTTTGGTGGTCTTGACTGTGGGAGAGGGAGGTAGCGGCATCTGGGGGGCGGTGAAGTACCTCAAGGATGCTACTCAGCATCCTACAGTGCCAGGCTGTCCCCCACCCTCACCTTCGCTTTTCAGACCATGGCACCCCCACAGCCCTCATCTCAGGCTCAGCAGTTCTCAGACAACAATCACACATCCCTGATCATCCCCGCTTCCCATTTCCCTTCCTTGATTCCCAATAGTGAGCTCTCAAGTTCCAGGACAAATTGGATGGTGCAAGATTGGAAAAAAGCAATCGCCCCAGCCCTTGCCCTCTTTCTGGACCATCTTCAAATTGAGGCTAATCCAGCAATTGCATCTGTCAGGCCCTGGCCAGGGCACAAGTTCCCCCAGTGTGTTAACCTTGGCCCAGACAATTGGCCTGCTCCCCAGTTGGCATGCTTGCCTGTGTCAGGCAAGCGTGGCGGGCAGAGAGACGCAGGCCAGGATTCCTGTGGTCGCTCCAGGCATTGGCTCAGCAGGCGGATAATGGAGAGTTGGCTCTATCTGTGTTGGGGGATTCCCAGGAAGGGATTCCATCGTAGGATTTGGGCCTAGATGGGGGTCCAGAAGGCAGTGATGAGCCCTGCATAGCTTAGTCTGGGCCGGCTCCTCACCCATCACCTGGCATGTATTTGTGGAACACTTGTGTACCAGGCGCTGGAATGCTAAGTGAAGGAGGCTGACAGAGTCCCGCTCTGGTGGGACTGAGGTGTTTACAGGGGACTGAGACAGTCATTCAGAGAGGGAAACTGACAGTTTTGGGGAGTACTGAGGAAGCAACGAGACAGATGCTGAGAGAGCAAATGACAGGGGATCCCTGGAGTAGGTGGCTTGAGAAGAGCGCTTTGGGGAAGTGCAAAGGGCCCGAGGCTGGAAAGAGTTAGGTGGGCTTGAGGCTTCCCAAGAAGGTCCTGAAGTCTGGGCAGAGGCAGCAAGGGGCCAGGAGAGGCAGAAGAGGTTGGAGTCAACATCCAGCCTCCTAGGGCAGAGATGGTGACTCTTTTAGGGCTTTCAGTGATAAACACCCTGCTGCAGCACCCTCCTAGGGCCTTGTGGTGGCGTTTGGGAATCTGGCTTTTACTGTAAGTGTAGTGAGAAGCCAGCTGAGTTTCTACCAAGGTGTGACTTTAAACCATCACCCTGGTTGCTGGGTTGGGGGAAAGAGAGGAGGGTTGAAGGCAGCAAGCCCCTGGGATCCCCCAGGAGACCTATGGGGACTCCTGCAAAGAAAGCCCTTTCGGGGCTCAGGAATGTAGAGGCCAAAGGCCTCTCAGGGAGAGGGGCTGGAAGCCAGCAGGGCCTTTCTGAGGTGCCCCGCAGGCCTCCAAAAGCTGGGGTGTGGAGCCCCAGGCAGGGGGACCCCAGCCCCTCAGGGTCTCCCCTCTCTGTTGCAGACGGGCAGCCCTATCCTGGCCTCAGCGAAGCCCTCCCCCGTGCCACCTCCGCCACCCATCGGATCAGCAGCTGGTGAGTGCCATGCTGGCCCTGACCTCAGGGAGGGCAGGGGGGCCCAGGCCTGAGAGAAGCCCCTGGGAGATGAGAAGGGGACAGGAGGGAATCAGAGGCCAGGCAGGAGGAGGTGACTCCCAGCAGGCAAGCCCCTGGGTGTGTGCTGGGGGCGGGGGGAGGTCTGGCATGAACACAGATGGTCAACTCTCATTATCTGTGCCAGGAGCAGGGCCAAGAGGCATGAGCCTGCAAGGTGGACCCTTGGAGTCCTGTCTCTCTGCCAGGTCACCCTTAGAATGATGTCACGCCTCTCTGAGCCTCAGTTTCCTTATCTGCAAAACAGAACCATAAGATGCATCTCACAAATTTGTCTTAAGAAACCAAGGTCACTGGGTAAGAGCAGGAATCAAGCACAATGCTAATGTGCTTTTATTAAGCAACATGGCAGGAGCCAGTGTGTAATAATCTCACCAGCTCTTGGAATGAATCATAGTTAACTGCTAGGTGCTGAGCTCTGGACAGGTGTTTGTTCCACTGAGTCTTTGCCACAGCCTTGGAAGGGTGATCTTATTCATTTCACATGTCACGGATGGGTCTGAGAGGCAGCTCTGTGGTCTCTGTTCTATCTGACTGGGGAACCCATTTCTTCTTCTCTTTCATGGGCATGATCAACATCCCCTCATGAAAGCAGGATCTTAAAAATGAAGAGAGAATTGAGCAGTAAAAACTTAAATTGCTCACAGGCAACAGGAGAAGCAAAATGCTTCCCTGAGCTACAAGTTGTGCCCATCTTCACCCTGTGTCTTGCCGGATCAGGGTCCCCATTTAAAGGTTGTGGTTGTGAGCACTAAAAAAAATTTTTTTTTACAGTGCTGAGATCCAACTCAGGACCTCATGCATGCCAGGCAAGAGCTCTAACACAAAGCTACATCCCCATCCCTTGCAAGTATTTAAACAACCACCTGCTGTGTGTGATGTTTCCATTGGTGACAGCTATGAGAAAACTCCTTAACCATGTGTCGCTCTTGGCCTGTCGTCCCAGCTACCCAGGAGGCTGAGGCAGGAGGATCACAAGTTCAAGCCCAGCTTGGACAACTTAATGACTGAGCAAGGCCCTGTTTCAAAATGAAAAAATTTAAAAAGGGTTTTGGATGTACATCACTGGTAGAATGCTTGCCTAGCATGTGCAAGGCCCTGGATTCAATCCCTTCTAGTGAAGAAAAACAAAAACAAAAGATCTTCTTAGACATTGTATAAGGATTAGGAGGTTCCTGGCTCTGAAATTCATCCCCTTTTGAAGACTGGAAAACTGAGGCCCAGGGAAGTTGCCTTGTTTCCCCTACCCACTTTCCACTTGAGAAGGTCATCGGGGCCAGCGGGTGAGCACCAACCATCAACTCTCTCTGACTCTGCCTTTCAAGGGGGAGATGTAGGGAGCAGGTGTATCTTTTGAATTGTTCTGCTGCAAAGTTAACTTTCACCAAATTTGGGTGAGAGGTATAATTAATTAAAACCGGGGTTTGGGAGTACTAAGACAGTAACATCCTAGAACACAGGTCAGAGGTATGAGTCCTCCTGGAGGAGAGCTGAAGGGTGACATTGCTACTCGACTTGGGGATGTGCCTTAGAGGCTGGCCCATGCCCCCGTGGCCTGCACATTTCCCCATGATGCAATGGGTCGGGGCTGTGTGGACATCCTAGACTGCAACCTGGCTTTTGACCCAGTAGTTCTAGAGAGCTAGGTGTGGTAGTGCACACCCATAATCCCTGCACACAGGAGCCTGGGGCAGGAGGACTGCTGTGAGCTTGAGGCCAGCTGGACTACATTGCAAGACCCTGTTTCAAAAAAAAAACCAAACAAAAACAAAAATAATAATTCTAGAAGGGCCCATCCTCCCTACCTCTCTCCCCTTACCCCCTATACACCTAGCCTCTCCAAAGTCACCCCTGGGCTGGGTCTCTGGGGCCTGCCTCAGATGGCTGGGGAGGGCTGCCCATCATCTCTACCCTAGGAAGGAAAACTGAGGCCCACATCTAACCTGTCCCCATTTGGCGCTTCCTTACAGCTGCTGGGATGGAGGCAGCCTGGACTTCCGGCCGGGCTCCCCACCATCCCATTTACTGGGTCCTTTCCCTGGACCCCCTGATGGCCAGGGGCCATGGGATCACCCGCTGGTCCAGGAGGCTGGGGAGGGCATCCCATCCGAGCGGAGGTTTGAGGACTCAGTCATTGTGAGAACCATGAAACCCCATGCTGAGCTGGATAGCTCTAGGAGGTTCTTGTACCACCAGGGTGAACTGAAGCTCTTAGAGAAGGCCTCCCAGGGCCACCCCAGGTTTGACTGGCTCCAAGACATGGAGGAGCAAGGACCTCTGCGGAATGCAGGGCTGCACCTGGACCTGCCTCCACAGCCACCTCCCCTAGCTTCCTTCAGGAGGGTGATCGTGCCAGTGGAAGATACCCCCAAGACCTTGGACATGGAGGTGGTGGGTACCAGAGAAGACCTCAAAGGGTTGGCCCAGCCCTCTGAGTGGGGCCTGCCCACGGCAGCCTCGGAAGTGGCCACACAGACATGGACGGTGAACTCAGAGGCATCCGTGGAGCGGCTCCAGCCTGTGCTGCCTCCCATCCCGACAGGGCCCTACCTGTGCGAGCTGCTGGAGGAGGTAGCTGATGGTATGGCCAGCCCAGAGGAAGAGGACGAGGAGGAGCCGGCCGTGTTCCCCTGCATTGAGTGCAGCATCTACTTCAAGCACAAGGAACACCTCCTGGAACACATGAGCCAGCACCGCCGAGCCCCTGGCCAGGAGCCCCCCGCAGACTTGGCCCCGCTGGCCTGTGGCGAGTGCGGCTGGGCCTTCGCCGATTCCACTGCCCTAGAGCAGCACCGGCAGCTACACCAGGCCTCCCGGGAGAAGATCATTGAGGAGATCCAGAAGCTGAAGCAGTTTCCAGGTGATGAGGGCCGCGAGGCCCGGCTGCAGTGCCCCAGGTGCATCTTTGGCACCAACTCCTCCCGGGCCTTTGTGCAGCATGCTAAGCTGCATGCACGTGAGCCACCTGGCCAGCCTGCTAAGGAGACTTTCGGGAGCAGCAACAGGGCCGGAAGCCCAGGGCCTGATGCCAGCACGCTTGTCTATCCACCCTACGGAGGCGCCCCGGGCCTCAGTGCCTGTGTCTTCTGTGGCTTTCCCGCACCAAGCGAGAGCCTGCTCAGGGAGCACGTGAGGCTTGTGCATACCCGTCCCCACTGGGAGGAGGATGGCGAGGCCTTTGAGGACGACCCTACGAGCCAGCCAGGCACTAGCCAGGATGCATACACCCGCTTCCCTGACGCCGCTGCTGTGGATTACTTTGGCAAAGCTGAGCCACTCTTGGTCCCCACATGGCGAGAGAACCCTGCTGGATACAACTCGGGCCTGGCCTTCAGCCCAGACTGCCAGCAGCTGGGCATGAGGGATTTCCCACTGTCAAAGCCACTCCCGCGCCACTCCAGCCAGAGGCCTATCGGAAGGTTGGCCTTTCCCTCCCCACTGGCATCTACCCCTTATCCCATACAGCTCAGTAGAAACAGAAGCACTGTTCACCCACAGGGGCTGGTGGGCCAGAGGCATCCTTGGAGCGAGGAGGAGGAAGAAGACGAGGACGTAGTGTTGACTTCTGAAATGGATTTTTCCTCTGAGAATGGGGTCTTCCCACCCCCAGCTCCCCCCAGCCTCATCCCCCAGCCAGCCCTAGAGCTGAAGCGCACTTTCCAAGTTGCCCTGCAGGCAGCAGAGGCCTCAAGGGCACAGCAGCAGCAGCTCCGAGGGATGGTGCCCATCGTGCTGCTGGCAAAACTCCAGCCACAGGTCATGGCTGCAGCAGCCAGGGCACCCCCAAGGCTGCAGCCCGAGGAGTTGGCGTTAGGGGTCACCCACCCCCTGGATTTTCTGCTCCTGGATACTCCACTGGGTGGCCCACTGGGGCTGGACACACTCCTGGAGGGAGATCCAAGCATGGTCCTCAAGAATGAAGAGCGGAAATGCCCCTACTGCCCTGACCGCTTCCACAATGGCATCGGCTTGGCCAACCATGTCCGGGGCCACCTGAACCGCGTGGGCGTCAGTTACAACGTGCGGCATTTTATCTCCGCAGAGGAGGTGAAGGCCATCGAACGCAGGTTTTCCTTCCAGAAGAAGAAGAAGAAAGGTAGGGCAGTTTTGCTCCAACACCCACCTCCTTCTGAGGCCTGGCAGCTGAGTTCTAAACCCCACTACCCTTACTTTAAATCCCCTAGCACTATGCAGAATGAAACTGAGGATGCCCTCCTGAGAGACCTAGGAGTCACAGCAAAGGTATCCACCAAAGATCAGTGGATATAGGGGGATGCTCCAATGCCCTGGCCATGCTGGCAGCTGGAGGAAGGGGTCTGGGCAGAGGAATCAGGCCCAGGCAGAGTTCCATGTAATTCCTTAAGCAAGGTCCCTTCTGTTCTTGGCACTGGGGGACCCATCAGTAAATGAAACAGCAGTTCTTGCTATCCTCAAATCCATGGCCCAGGCCAGGAGCAATGAGATTGTTAGTGGGCTTCAGGACTTGGGGTGCCTGTAGGTTATGCGGGTTCCAGGGCCACAAGGCTCTGACTCTAGAGGTTGCTTTCCAGTGGGAGCTGGTAGCTCTGGGTGGTTCTTTTTTTTAGTGGGGGGTTCTTTTTTTTCCGGTATGGGAATCGAACTCACGACCTCGCGCTTGCCAGGCAGGCGCTGTGCCGCTAAGCTAAATCCCCAGCCCCTCTGGGTGGTTCTGATGTCGGTAGTCATGGCGTCCACTTAGGGAGATATTGGGATGGGAATTTGCATGTGAGTGTTGTGTGTATATGGTAGGAGGAAAGCAAGGAGTAGACCGCCAGAAAAGCAGGTAGTTAGACATCACAGTGGGGGCTGGGGGAGCCAGGAGGCTGGGAAAGCTGAGAGGAAATCCTTGACTCCACCTGGGTATTCAGGGAAGGCTCACAGGAGAGTATCACGTCCTCTGTGTATTTCTTCAAGCAACACGTATTTAATTCACAGCACTGAGGCAATGGTGAGCCAAAATAGACAAGAGGAGGTTATCTACTGAGCATGCACCCAGATGATTCCAAATTCCACAACTCGGAGGGAGGACCCGGGAGGTCAGGCTTCCTGGTATGGAAGGTGGGTGCATGGAGGTGAGGCAGGCAGGAGCATCTCAGAAGCAGAAGGAAAGACAAGCTGTCCAGGGTGACTGGCAGAGGATAAGGGGTTGGGGCTGCAGAGCGATCGCACCCCCACCCCATCCCACCCCCACATAGCCCATGTCCTCTCTCTGCAGTGGCCAACTTCGACCCGGGCACCTTCAGTCTGATGCGATGTGACTTCTGCGGGGCAGGATTTGACACAAGGGCCGGCCTTTCCAGCCACGCCCGCGCCCACCTGCGAGACTTTGGCATCACCAACTGGGAACTCACCGTCTCACCCATCAACATCTTACAGGAGCTGCTGGCCACTTCGGCAGCTGAGTTACCCCCCAGCCCTCTGGGGCGTGAGCCTGGTGGGCCAGCTGGCAGCTTCCTGACTTCCCGCCGGCCACGCTTACCTCTCACTGTTCCCTTTCCACCCACCTGGGCTGAGGACCCTGGGCCGGCCTACGGGGATGGTAAGGCGAGGAGGGGGCAGGTGGAGTGGAGTTCAGAGGGATGGAGGGAGGAATGGAGGCAGAGGGTGGACCCTCTACATTTCTGGAAGCATTTCTGATCACTTTACAAAGTATTGACAAACCTGCCTCATCACTATCCTGCTACTTAGAAGTCATTTCTGTTGCATGCAGGGGCTGGGCCAGGGCCCCTTTCTAGATCCAGTTTCTCCCTGCAAATGCTATTGAGCTCTTACTAGGATCCAGCATTGTTACTTTATAGCGACAAATTCATGGAGATTCTCACAGTGATCCTAATAAGGTGGGTGATATCATCATCCCCATTTTATGGAAGAAAAACTGAGGCACAGAGAATTTAATTAATATGCCCAAGGTTACACAGCCAGAAAGGCTCCTGCTTCCTTTTTTATTTTTTCTTTTTTTTTGAGAGAGGGTTTCACTATGAAGTT